CGCTTACTAGGGCCCTGCCCTAGGAGGAAACACAACCCGGTGGCCACTGCGTCTGAGACTCTATTGGCCATCCCACATTACGGCGGCCTCATAGCAGCCATTAAGGGAATATTTGTGTCATAGAAATCAGATGCCTCCAAGCCTGCCTCCTCTTTCTCTTCCCCCAGGCCAGCTAAGCATTTTTCGGCAGTGAGTCTGCAACCTTAGATCTCCCGCCTTTTGCCTGGCCTGGCTGGTTAATGCCTGCTTGGTACAAGTGACTATATATATATATATATGTGTGTGTGTGTGTGTATATATATATATATATATATATATATATATATATATATATATATCTGACCACTCTGTATCAAGTCCCTTTACAGTTGCATAATACGTTTGCCTAATTTTTGGCCGTTTTTCTAAACCACGTATAACGCGGTGTCTTTCAAACAGGCACTCTGAGGTGATTTTAATATTTTCGTGAGAAGTACATATGAACATTGCTGGGTGCTTTAATGATATCCCCAGGAGACATGAAGGTGGATGCCCGATCCCTCACATCAGCAGCTCACATAGCTGTGACATTTTGGTTCTTTCAGCTTTGTTTGCTTTCTTAAACATCTTTCTTGATTAGTGAAAAGACATCAGCTGTTATTTCTGCTTTAAATTATACAAATAATCTGAGACTACATGTTCACAGTGAATGATTTAAGCAACACATTGGTTATAAAGGGGCCGTCTCCCTCTGTTCTCTAGTCCCTGATGATAAAATAGCCTTTATTACAGTGTGCTCTACTCCTTCATGACTATTGGCGTATATTCTAAATACTGTTGCTTGTAATATACATTTTTATACCATGCATACTCAAATGTTGCGTGAGTGGGAATCACACTATGGTAAGGCTTTTTCAATTCTTTATAACATATGATTCTTTACAATAGCTGAAGCCGGATTCCAAAGCCTTATTTTAACCATTCCCACACTGATAGATATTTTTGTCTTTTCCTTCTTTAAAAAATTTTAAAATATTTGCTGCAAAATGAGCCATTTAATATCTCTCTTCACACCCTTCAGTGAACATGCATTTGCACATATGTAAGGCCATTTTCAGAAAGAACTTTTGAGTCATAGGTGAGTTGTTATTTTTATTTCTTTTGTTTTACTTATAATCTCCACCATGTTGATTAAATTGTGCCAACATCTTTAAATGTTGTGTCTATTAATAAATCTCTAATATGAGTAAATAATTGCTATTACTTACATGATATAAGGATATCGAGACAACTCTCCTCTGGATAAATAAACCCAGTGATTTTTTTCATTGTATTAGTTACCTTTTCTGTTGTAATGACAGAAAGCCCCAGCAAAAGAGCTTTAGGGGAGTAGGGTTTGTTCCGGATCTCAGTTTCAGGCTGTAGGCCATAATGGTGGGGATGTCACAGTAGCAGAGACTTGAAGCAGTTGGTCATATTATATCCACAGTCAAGAAACAATGATACGTTCAGTCCATTTTGTCCTTTTTACACAGTCCAGAATCCCAACCCAGGGAATTGTACCACCTATAGTGGACAGGTCTTCCCATCTCAGATAATGTAACTGTGATAATCCCCAATACAAATGCCAAAAGGCCACGTTCCAGATGATAGGAAGAGACAGGAAGCACCTTGCATGTTCCTCTCTTCCCCTAGGTCTCATCCTTGAGGTAGTTCCAATTCCCTCTGACTAACCCTCTCTACTTCTCCATACTTGAAGGCTTTCTCCAATACCTGCAAAAGTTCTTTTGATGTGAAGCAGACTCTAAGTGATGGGAAATCAACAACTTTCAGAAGCAGGTTGCAAACAGTAACTGGAGATGATGTATCAACACTTTTCTCCCCCACTCCTTGGGTGGGATATCCTGAGGTCTGTGCTTCCTCATTCCTTGGCATTTCCTCTAGGAACTGAGCCCGTGATGGTAGAGGGTATAGGAAACAGCACACATTGGTAACAATCCCTTCACAAGTTTATTTCCCTAGTTGTCTGCACTGACTTTCTGTACCTTTCTGATGAAATACCTGCGCTCGAACCAGCCTCTGGGTTGCTTTTGGAGGAACCTAAATCAAGACTGCTATTTTCCTCCAAGTAGGAGCACCATTTGGTCTTGACCCAGAAACAAGATGTTGCTAAGCACACACGCTATTATTCCTCATTCTGTCTATGACACAGGGATCTTTTTTTATGTGTTATACAGGTTACGTCCAGATGCCTTGATTTGATCAGTTGACTATGCTGATAGAAAATAGTGTTGCTTCTTAATACACATTCTTTCAAGGCAAAAATCCAGATATCCCCACATTGTATTTTGGCAGTATACATACAGAGAAAGTCCCCATGGCTTGACACACCATACTTGCATGTGGAGTTTGGGGAGTTTGTACGAACTGGCAAAGTCAGTAAATCCGAATCAGGTATACTTAGGAATGTGAAGCCTTGGTTCTGCGTGGACTAGGAAGTCCTGAGCAGTGCAGGATGCCTCATAAGGTGATGTTTGCCTGCTGGAGGTTGAGGACTGGCAAGGAAGCACATCACATCATCCCTGGGCTGAGGTCAGAATGCCCCAGAGCTGCTCTCTGGATGCTCAGCGGAGGGCTTGTGAATTGTTTTAGAGTCTTGAGAGAAACTTGAGCCTCTTGGAGTTGATAAAACATTTGGTGGAATCTGGCCCCATCCTTCTCCTGGGGCTTGGACCAACCAACAGGACTGATAACTTCTTTTGCACCCCACTTTGGATTCTTTTCCTTATCTTTTTATCTCTTGTTTTAAACAACTCTTAGGTGTGACAAATGGTCCCTAGATTAACCACTATAATAACAATGAACCTGTAGGAAAACCCCCAAACAGATAGCACAAAAGTCAGATAAAGAGAATGAGGTGATTATTACATTCAGATGGAGAAATCGAGGCACAGTGAGGTTTAGTAACTGGTCAGTTGGTGGCAGAGTTGGAATATTATCACAGGTGGTCTGGTTTAAGAACCCATGTTTTTTCACCTCATGAAGCACTTGGAGCTTAGGCCCTTCCTATTTATTTTTATTTTACTTTTATTGATTCTTTGTGGATTTCACATCATGCATTGTGATCCCACTTATCTGTCTGTCCTCTCACGTGCCCCCTCTGCCCTTGCACCCTCCCCCCCCAAACAGAACCAAATTTAAAAGAAAACCAAACCAAAACAAAACAAAAATAAAAACAAAGACAACAACAAAAAGAAGAATCTTATTGTAGAATCTGTAGTGTGATCCATTGAGTCACACATTATACACTTTAGTGCATTCATCTTTACTTGCAAGTGTTCATTGCCACAAACCATTGGTCTGGCTGGACCTCTGGTTTCTGCTACACCACTGATAATGGACTCTTACTGGGACTCCTCTTGGATATTCTGTTGTCCTATGTGGTGGAGATCCTGCAGTTTCAGATCCATAGGTTTGTCACTTTCACACTCTCCAACAGTTCATAGATTCAGTAGATGCTGGGGTGGGGACCCTTCCTATTTTTTGACTTAGATAACTTAGTTGTATGATCTATGTGAGTCATTTAATGAGTTTGAACTTGAGAATGATAATACTTCATAGGGAAGTAAGACTTGCAAGGGTGGAGAGGGTTCAATTAGAGCAGGAATAGAAAAGGCCACCTGGAATTTGCAGTAGCTGTTGATATTATTTTCTCCTAATACACAAACACACACACACACACACACACACACACACACAGAGGCACAAACATGCACACACATTATGTCAGGCTCACTGAACTGCTCTTAGTAGACACACACACTCAGCCTTTGAGATGACTGCCTGCATTGTTCTCTCTGGTGAACTAATGTCCTTAGGGGAATGTCCTTCTGTATATGTGTTTCTCTTATTGGTTGATGAATAACATGCTGATTGACCAGTAGCCAGGCAGGAAGTATAAGAGGGACCAGACCAGGAGAATGCTGGGGAGAGGTAGGCAGAGAGGAGCCACCAGAGAGTCACCATGTAGCCACTGGGAAGGTAGGATGGCTGGGAATTCTCTGGTAAGCCAAGACCACCTGGAAATACTTAGATGAATAGAAATGGGTTACTAATTAAGAGAGAGCTAGCCAGTAAGAAGCCTGAGCCATTGGCCAAACAGTTTATAATTAATATAAGCCTCTGTGTGTGTTTATCTGGGACTAAATAGCTGTGGGACCAGGTGGAACAGAAACTCTGTTATCAAACTAACCACCTTTTCAGGCTTGGTGTAGATATTTCTTTTTGGTGAGCTTGTTAAATTCTCCAGAGTTACATCTTTATCAGCTATTCTATCTAGTAGGGGGATGGAGTTCTGATTAACAACACAAGGTCTGGATATGGACTAAGGGGCTTTAAGAAATGACTCCTATTGTAGACACAGATGTGGTGGCAGTTCATGTCTGTACAAAATGAGGAAAGTGTGTCTGTCTCCCAAGATCATCATCAGGCTTAAGTGAGACATAGTACGTCCACAGCTGAATTGGAGCTGGAATGAAGACGTGCTCAGTAAACCAAATCATATCATTTTAGCTCCTGAGCCTATCTGCTACATTATTTAATATTGATTATTGACACACTTATGGTTTTTATTCCCACAAGGCCACAAAAATCTTCAGGCTAAGAATGGGATCTGTTATTTCGTTTTATTTTTGTGATTTCTTCAATGTCAGATGTACAGTAATTGATTCAACATTGTTCAGACACATGGGCGAGTGAGCAATGGTCGCATGGTTAAATGAGTGGATGACTCTTGCCGAGTTAAGTGGTTGGGGCAAAGGCCTAGACCATCTCTGATATCTGGGGAGTATTTTCCGTCATATTGGGAGTAGGGGAACACAAAGGGCCCAGAAGTGGGCTCTAAGTTCTTTCATTTGGACTGGCTATGGCAAAGACAAACCAAACGACAGCAAAATCAAAAGACAGGTGGCTCTGCATTGGGTAGAGATGACATCTAACACCTCTTACTTCCTATGATTCACAGAAATGCCAGCATGTCATGAAAACCCCGGCTGAGAAGTTGGGAAATCCCCTTCTCAAGAGTGTCTGGACAAAGTTAGAAGCCCTGAGACTGTACCAGGAGGGAAGAAGACAATGTAGGACCTGGGTTTGGGGTTAGTCCTGGCTTTTCTTGGGAAGGAGCCTCTGCCTGTGGATATAGGAGCTTTGCCAATGGGACAGAGGCACACTAGGACAGATCCAGCAAGAGTCTTGGCATTCAGTCTCTCTTCTCAAGGGCTCTTCCAGATTCCGGATTCCTCATCCAACCGTTTCCAGTGATTCCTGACACCTTGACTCAAGAGGCTGACCATCTCAGTTCACTCAAGTGAGTATCTTATGAGTCCCAATCTCAGATCCCTTCAATGATCCCTTTTCCTTTGCCTAAAGTCAAACAGAAGGAAAAGGACCCATGCTCACAAATGCTTTTGGTGTATAACTTAGGCTACATTTATGCCGCCATCAGCAAAGTTTCCATTCACCTTTTCTGCAGTCATCCTGGTAAAAACCAACCATGGGAACTACCAGTTACCAAGAATACATTCTGTCTCAATTGGGCATAAAATACTGAGCTTCAGCACCTTGGTGGGGTACTTAGAAGTAGGGGCTGCAGTTGAGCTGACTCTAAGATAGCTTTTCTATGAAAAACAGAGGAGGGACAAAAAAGAAGAAAGACTGTTATTCTCCAAAATCTTACTTTCCCCCAGCTTTGCAAGACCAGCACTCATAGAATGCTCAGGCTAGCAATGGGATACAGTGCCTGGTGACCCTTTGATACCTGTGCACTAGAAGGAAAATGCTAGAATGGCTGAAGGGGCTAGGAGATGTTTGGAATGAAGAGAAGCATCCTTTCTCAAGCCTCTCCCTTCATGGTGATGACATATTTGTTTATCTAGTTCTCCAAGCATCCAGCCATCGAGGAGGGTAGAGAACAAAATACCAGGGCAGTGGCACTAAGGCCAAGGAATTGTCACAGGGCAATAGCTTGCTTCTTGCTCCCTCCCCTTCCTTTCTTCTTTTGTCCATTTAATTGTTCCACAAATATTCCTATTAGCAGAGTTACCAAGTCCAAAGGAATCCTCTATAGGGTGCTGGGGAGAGGGCCGTGGGATCTCAGTGATGTACTCCAGCGTTTACACTCTGGTTAGCTAAGGAACTCCATGAATCTGAAGGTGTCTCCTTACAGTGGGATAACATGGTGTCTGCCTTGGAGGGATGGGTGAAGCTCAAGATGAAGTCATAGATGGAAGGCACCAAAAGGAGCTGTCACTTCATAGCTATATTTATATTAATTATAATTTAGTCATCCAATGAACTAAAACTGGCTGACTGTGTCTTTGCCCGTATATATCAGTGTATATTCAATGGATGGTTCTAGTGTACTTCATTGCTTTTTGTAAAAAGCTCTAAAGGACCAGGGCATTAGCATTCCTGCTTTAAAAAGTAGGTACTATCAAAATTGAAGCTTCTAGAGATCCTAGGTTGGAAAAGATAAAAGAAAAGTGAGGATAGAGGTGGCCAAATCACAAGCCTTTGACCTTCATGAGGACAGAATGATTCCTGAGATTGGAAGAACATTGCAGAATAGAGCTAATACCATTGGTTAGAGTCTGAGATGAGGTGTGTCCATCTGAAGCTCTCAGATCTAGGCTCCCGGCTAGTCTGTGCCGCTGAGGCAGCTGTATTAGAACACCTGCTTTCTGGGATGTCTTCCTCAACAACTCTCTTTAAGGTCCAGGATCTTACCTGCATTTGAAAGCCATTTTATGCATATTAGGCAGCCTGTACTCTGAAGCCTTTGGGATGCCTTTCTTAGTCCTGACCGCCTCCTCTCCATTTTCAGCTAGAGGAGAACCTTTCAGTGTTCCTGCCCTGTAACTATCCTTGTCTGTCCTTCCTTCCTTCCTTCCTTCCTTCCTTCCTTCCTTCCTTCCTTCCTTCCTTCCTTCCTGTCTCCCTCCCTCTCTCTCCCCCTCCTTCCTCCTTCCTCCGCTCCCCCGCCCCCCCCCCCCCAGCAACAGAGCTGTTTTCACTTTGCATCCTGGGAAACACCAAGTGACTTCTTTGTTCCTTGGGGCAGACAGCATCTCACCCAGCCCACCTGTTCCTTCCCAGTGGCCCCTGAGGCTTCAGAGTTTGGTGTCCTGCACATTTTGACTTAGAGAACAAAAGAAACTATTGAAATGTCATATGTCAGCCACTTCCTCCTATTCTATTAAAACACTTCTCTCCAAAAACATTCTGGGAGGAAAAAAAGAAAAAGGGAGAAAACAACTTTGGGGGAAACAGTAAAAAAAAAAAATTAAGAAGGGGGAAAAAAGACCCGACAAGTCCAAGCCCACTTCAGGGAGTTGAAACATCTGCACTTTCTCAGCAGTTTGAAAGGAAACAAAAAATTGCCAAGTGGTATAAAATTTGAAGAAAAATTACCCAAAGGAGGAATGGACGTTAAGCACGCTTCAATTCCCCACTATGGGTTGCCATTTGAAGCACTTTCTTGTCTCCTCTTTCTTTCTGATTCACAGTGTGTCTAAAGAGGTGAATTGGGCACACAAAACCCAACCTCCTCTTGCCAGGGTGGGTATGAAATATGAAGGCCAGACGATTGTCTGGGCTCAGTGCATTGGAATAACATTGGTTAAATTATGGATAGTTTTTGAATAGTGTCACTTTTTTTTCTCTGCAGATGGTTGTTCACACAAGGAGCCGGGTCTGCATAATTGTATCAGTAATCAGCAGTAAGGCAATTAGTTGTGTAAGTGTGCTATAATCATTCTAACAGAAGAGATGACGAAAAGACAAAAAAAGGGAGGGGGGGACCAACATGTCTTTTCTGAATCCATCAACTGACAGCCATAATTAGATATATATAATTGAAAATTCCACAGTAGGGGGGCCAGATTATACAAATGAATTTTCTCTGCTGCCCTTATGCATTTTTGTCTTTGGCTGAGCATCCCCCCAGGAGAGGCAGAAAACTCGTCATTCCAAAAGAGTGCATACTGTACTCGGTATTGTTCTAGACCCATGATGTCAGCATAGCATTTTTTTGTTTTTGGTGTGGGGGCGTGGGCAGGGGGCTGAGGTTAGTGCGGTGTGAGGACAGTGCATGGGCTGGTACCAGTCACACTGCTTTGAATATCGTTGTCAGCACTGTTGTTCGGAATCTGTTCTCAGCTAGTCAAATGTCCATCTTTTGGTTTATAGTGAAATTCTGGGTGGGTTGATTTGACCGTGGGGCCTGGTAGACAGGCATTATAGCAACTATGATACTGTAGGAACCCATGAAAATGGTTAAGTTCTTTATGCGTCAAAAGAAAAATGAACACAGTGGTAACGAGTCCACACTAGTTTGGGATCCCCTGCATGTCAACGCCGTTGTACAATACGATCTTCAATGCACTTCTGTGAAGAAAGTTTTTCACGGAAGCTGCAGGGCCCCAGGGATCTCTGAAGGTATCATGTGGCCTCATCCTGGGCCGAGGGACAGTCACCTCTAAAAGTGAGAATGGTGGCATTTGAGGGAGCTCCTTTACAACAGGATAGTTCACCCACAGTTTTCATAGGAAAGAGGGGACTCTATTTAACCAAAGCCTGATTATCAAAACCTATAATTACATTTGGTTAAAAATTCTTAAGTGCCTATGAGCTTGTGGAAACTGTGCAGAAAAGCTTAGCACCGAATTAATCAGACTATAGGTCTCCCATCAGACCGAAATCTTCTTTTTAAATTGGAAGTGCATCCCCCAGCTTCCCCCCCCTCTCCTTTTGAATTCACCAATTCTTCTATAATTTAATTGGACAAATCTTAACTGTGATTTTTCCCCCTCCCAAAGAGGGGCACATTGCGGCCAAGGCTTTGTTAATTAAGCTCTTTAAATGCCCCCAGCTGTGCAATAAGTTTTCAAAGCAACACAACTGCAAATTTATTTTTTTAAAACATTTTGTGGCTAGTTTTCAATCATGTATTATTCCCCCCCTCCTTGTTCTGAGGATGGGAAAAAACAGGAAAAATCTCAGGGAGAGTTCCCATGCATTGTGGAATCTTGGACAGACAGTCAAATTGGAGGTGCCATTAAGTGGTGTCTAATTGGAGCCTGTTTAGTGGGGGCGGGGTCACAGGGGACGATTCTTTGGGCTTGTAGGCAGCATGGGCATATGCACGCTGTCTAGAGATTATTTACAAGAGTACCAGGAAAGCAAAACTCCCACTGGTGTCTGAAGACAGTACTTCTCTAAACAGACAGAGGAGGCTTTGGGATGAGAGGTCTAAGTCAGGACCTGGGAATTGTCTCTGGTCTCTTTGGGGTGCTGGTCTCCCCTAAGTGTATTGTAGCCCATGTTCCCGGTTCTTCCCACCCCAGCTCAGCTGGGGAAAACGAGGAACTGGAAGAAAACTGCTGAAGTGAGTTTGTGTTAGCTCTACCGTCCACAAAGTGGCTACGTCTTAGATGCCTTCATTGGAGCCGCTGGAGGAAGATGAGCAAGATGACTCAGAGGGCAGTAGTGATCTGCGGCTGTGGCTGAAGACCCGAGTTCAGTCCCCGAGGCCCACGTGATGGAAGGAGAGAACTCCTGCAAGTTGTCCTCCGACCTTTACACGTGAAGCACGTGCATATCCACACCTATCTATCAACCCCACACGATGAATAAATAAATAAATCTAAATGGGATACAATTTTTAAAAGATGCTAATAAGTGACATGATAGTTAAGAAACTAGTGGCACCCAGTTTAAAAGATTCAGACCGTGGCTAAGAGGTCCTTCATAGTTCTGATGATTCATACTTTAATTTTTTTTAAAAAATACCTTACCACTCTTAAAATTGAGACTAACCAACATGGAGTTCAGGCAATACATGTGTCAAGTGGTGGCTGGAAACCAGTGCACCGTTCGCCTCCTACTTCGGCCCATCTGCACACGTGTCTGTGTCGATGGGGGCCAAGCCTCTCATCCTGAGTGCCCGTGCTTCCCTGATGAGGAAAGTAATCGTCCACTGACTTGATCATTTTAAAACTCTGTAGTCAAGACATGTTTTCGATAAATCTGGCCTTGGAGTGGAGTCACCTAGTACTGGGACATGATGTCAGTTCCCTTTATGGCATGGCCTGTGGAGGTCAATTGCATGGCTCACTGTTCCTTGTAAGCCAAGCTTTTTGGCCACCTAAAGGATGGAGGCTGCATCTGGATGCTGGAGGCTGAGCCTGAAGGATGGAAGCTGAGTCTAGGGCATGGTGTCTGGGAGAAGGAGGCTGAGTCTGGGGTGTCTTTCTCTTTGGTTTGCCAACACACTGAAGGCGCTGTGGCTCTCCCGCATATCTGTGATGTGAATTTCACAGAACGGCCGTGTGCCCTGAGTGGAATAAACCTTGGGAGGGAGCTGCGGCAGGATGACCACTTGCGGACTTTGTGCCAACTGTGCTTGGCCCAAGGCAAAGGGAAGACAAGGTTACTACTGATAGGTTCAGGGCAGGACAGTGTATCCTGTCCCTGTCCCCATGGTATAGCATGCTGGTGGCTGTCCATCTGGGAAACAAACCTCTGTGAACACTGGGATACACAAGAGACCCATCTGCTGTTCTTCTGTCATCCCCAAAGGCTCTTAAACACATGGCTTCACTGATGCTCCCAGGAACCCAAGCTGGACCTATGAAGCAGGTGTATCAGTGCCTCACAGAGAGACCTCCCTGAGATGAGACCGCAGAGGGCAGTGTCCCACTGCTATATAGTCCTGCCTCTGTTGACCTGGCAGGCTTCTCTCCGCTGAGTGCTGTCCCTGTCAACCCTCCTCCCTTTAGCATGCCTGTCAGTTTCAATATGAGGAACAAAACCCCCAGGTAAACCCCTAAACAGAATGAAATTTTCATTTCCCAAGCTTCATCCTAACATGGCCCTGCACTCCTGTCAATATTTTTCTGCCTGTAGCAGACACTCTACACTTTCCTATAGCTGTTTTGCTTATAGTACCCCACTGAGGCATGGTATGCAGGGCCTCTTATTACTCAATTATATGTGGGTGCTATAAGACTTCTGCCTTCCGAATGTCCCAATGTCATTATCAATGTATTAGGATGTAGAGACCACTTCAGCTGTCACTTGGCTTCTGACTCCTGGAGGGGATCTCAGTAGGTCAGCCCCTCCAGAGCTCTCTGCCTTCTCTCTCACCACATTCCTAAAGAGCTATATCCCCAGACATCTTGGGATCAGCAGGCACAGCTTTTCCTCCTTCCTTCAAGCTGGGGAGCATGGACAGCTCCTTCCTGCCTCCCCATATGACTTTGTTAACTATGTAGCTAAATGGTTTTTTTTGTCCTACTGGTCCCCCTGAACCAATTTCTCTCCTGCTTGTAGGTATCTACCACTGCTTGTGAAATAATCACTCAGAAGCTTCTATTAAATATAATTGTTTGGCCAATGACTCAGGCTTATTACTAGCTAGCCGTCTCTTATAAATTAACCCATTTTTAATAATCTGTATATCACGATATGTCCATGGCTTACCAGTGATGTTCTGGCATCTGACCTCTTTGGCAGCTACATGGGGTCTTTCTGACTCTGCCTTCTTTCTCTCTCTATCTCTGGATTTCCTGCCTAGCTATATTCTGACCTGCCATAGGCCAAAAACCCTTTATCCACCAATCAATAAAAGCAAGACATATTTACAACATATAGAAGGACATCCTGCATTGTTGGGGAAGTCCTGTGTATTTGTAAATAAAGCACTGTTGGCCAATAGCGAACTAAGATAGGTGGGACTAGGAGTCCAGAAGGACTCTGGGAAGGAGAAACACAGAGAGTCAAGATGTAACGCCATGGAGTAGGAAGCCCAAAAACCTCTCCGGTAAGAAAAATACTTAAATTAACAATTATTGAATAAATACTTAAGTCAGAGCTAGCCAGTAAGAAACAAACAAGGCCAACAGCTTCATAATTAATATAGCCTCCTGTGTGTTTATTTGGGACTGATGCGGCTTGGGAACCAGGCTGGCGGTAAGGCTTCTCTCTCAAGGAAAAGACTTCCCTTTACACTGCATCATAGCTGTGAGGAAGCAGTTCCTTCAGCTTAATGATGAAGCACCTGCTTCCCAAGATAGGAAAGGGCTTCTTAGCCCCTTTGTTCCCGAGACCCCGATGGAAATGCTGCTGCTGTTACTTTCTCTTTGGACAGTCTTCATTTGGTCTCTACTCAATGATAAATGAGCCCTGCGTTGGAGTTGTCCTTCATCTGACTACCTCTGGGGCAGTTTAGGGGAATCCAGAATTGAGACTCTGAGCTGCCAGGGGTGAGAGCTACGTCTGGGGATTTAGGCACACGTCCTATGCCCCTCCCTCTTCAGGCTTTGCATGCCATGCTGGCTGCCCTCCAAGGCCATCTGTCACCAGTTTGTTTGGACTATGTCTTAGCTTTCATCACGTCACATGCCATCCTGCATATGCCATCACTGAGCTACGTGGGGGTCTGAGACCTGACACCAACATGCCGCCATACTTGTTAGTTTTATAATGGATGGCCAGTCCCAGGACAATGACAGCTTGGCTGCCCTGCTGCTGCCCAGCTTACTGTAACTTATCTCTCAAGAAGTACAGGAGTTTCCTGGCTTTGTGCTTGTGAGTCAAGGTAAGAGAGTGACTTGCTGCCTTAAGGGAGCCAAGCAAGTCCTGTACTGTGCATCCTCGGAGAAGGACCTGAATGGTTCTCGAATGCAGATGAGTTTGGCATGCAGGGCACTTTTAGTAAAACTTAGATTTTATCATTTTAAAGTGAGTCTTTTGATCTCCAGCTGGACACAGCATCTAAGATTCCTTTCTGTTTTAAATCTGGTCTACTTCATTCCCTGTGTTAACCTGCTTGGTTTCTTGTGAGCATTTGCCCTGGCAGCCCAATGCATCCTTGTTAAGTGTTGATATGACTCCTAGGAATCTAGAACAAGGAGTGTGGAGTCAGGAAAGAGAGTCATACTTTTCTTGGTTATAGACCCACATTTCCAAGCAGGAGCTCTGAGGCCAAGAGAAGAAACAGGAACCATTACTTACCCACAGTGAGATGGTGGTCACATCTTCTGTGGTATGGTCTCATGTGACATTATTTCTTCGGAAATACTTTGAGAAGAATACAGAAGAAGTGTTTACTACGAGTGTCAGCTTGTCCTCTATAGACCCATTTGACAGCTGTCACTCTCTGTGACTTCTGCCCAGTGATAGCACACAACTTTAATCTCAGTACTCAAGAAGCAGAGGTGGGTGGATCTCTGTGTGTTTGAAGCCAGTCAGCATGGTCTACAGATTGAGTTCCAGAAGAGCCAGATGAAGGCATCGGTGGGCGCTGCAGTTATGAAGATCTCTAGGTGTATAAGGATGAAGGGATTGGAACATCAATTCCCAAGTTGTACTGTTTTCCTCTTGGCCGTGGCTTAACTGTTTCCCTTCTGCCCCTAATTTTCTCTAGGTTGGACATTTCTAGCTTCTCTGCTCTACTGAGCTCCACACCTCTCCCCTGGTTTCCACTGTCTTCTTTCCCTTAACACTACTCCAGGTAAGGACAAAAATTCTGTTTGTCCTCAACAAACAAAACATCCTCTGTTCCCATGACCCACCTCCATCACTATCAATGGAAGAGTATAGCAAACAGCAATGAATGATTGTCTTCCTAAACACATATACTCTGGTTCTCACTAGCTGTTCTGCTAAAGCTGGGCGTTCTATGCACCCGTGGCAGAGTGATGGGAGCACAGAAAGATCAAAGCACTTAGTCACAGGATGTGGCTGCTACAGAGGGGCTTCTCAGCCTCACCCAAATGCCTTCCCTCCTTACCATGTGGCCTCTGGATGGAGGTAGCAGATTTGAGTTCATTGATTTGCTAGTCCAACTCTAGAACCTTCCCTTTAGGTTCTTCTGGGATCTAGTATCTTGGAGGTGGCAATTTTGGTTAAACACCCTCGTTTTAGAACAGGAAGCTCTTGAGCACTTAGACCAGGCCTCCCCAGCGTCTCCTCATGTGGGTCTCATTGGAATGCAGGCCCTGTGCTTCCCACTAGGCAATGGTCTCCTTTCTTCCTATCTTTAATTAGTTCTGTCACCTTTAGTCCTCTGGAAAGAAGAGCAGAGGGAATGAATGTCCCAGTAACCAGCATGTTTTTGAGACTCCAATTCTGATGAACTCCCAGAGTTACGACATACATGATGAACACATCTACATACATGTTCCTTTTAACTTAGAGCACAGAGTGTTAGAGTCTTTTCCTCCTCAGGGGCTACTTTAATGCCAATTTTGGTTACCATGTACAAGGTGTTTTAAACTGAGTTGTCAAACTGTTAGATGATGTCACAGTGCATGTTCCAGTAACTCAACCCCTTCTGATTACTCCAAACATCATAAATGTTGTGACTTCTAACACAGAAGGGAAGCTACCATCCCAAACAGTGCCCTCCTCAAATCTTCCTATGGATTAATTTGCTGGGTGGCCTGAAACAGGTCAAAAGGTTTTGGCCAGGGAGTAGAATTCTAAAAATAATCACCCCATACGCACTCTAAATCAATCATAATTAATGCACTTGCCTAGTCCTGTCTTCTGATTGCTGGCTAGAGGGTGAAATAAAGAGACCCTTTCTAATACAATTTGAAAAGAGATCAAATCTGTCATTTCATCTAATAATTGAGCCAAATGAG